TCGATTTTTGTATTGGTCTGAACTCTGAACAAAACAACAGTTGTATTAAAAATGCACATTCATTCTCTGCCAGCAGGTGGAGCGTTTGGTAGCTTGGTTACAGTTGATAACTGTTTCCCCGGTAACGGCAGAACACAAAGCAGCACAGCACCGGACTTTGAAATGTGCACCGCTCATGTTTCATAGCCTTTTGGAGTTTAATCGTCACATTCAGCCATATCGCAATTCTGGTCTTTCCGTCCCCAAATTTAAGACCAATTGAAATCATAATTAAGACTTTCTTGTACAATTTAAGACTTTTTAAGGCCTTAAATTTGATACAACTAAATTTAAGACTTTTTAAGACCAAGCGGAAACCCTGTTCTCCTGACTATTATCAGAAGTTTTCTTTTTGTGTATAGATGCGCTTGTTTGTTGTTTATGTATCTCTTTGCTGGAGAAGGAAAATCAATGGATATTGTGACGAGCGTCCCGAAGCTTCATCAGCGTCGCCCTGGAAGCAAGCGAGGAGCACCTGGCCATCATCATCACAGGCTGATCGGTCACAGCTGCCTGATGACGTCATCCCCTCTCGCTCGCAAAAGCTAGTGAAGACCCTGACTGGGACGGAGGAACGACGGAGACGGCCTCCCAGCCACCAAAGGGGTAAGTGACGTTTCGTCTATTGTCATTTACCCTGTGGTTGGTTGAGGCTGTCGACTAAAACCCGGTTTCTCTGTCCCTGTTCCGGCGCGGTGCGAGAGGGAGAACTGCCCGGAGAGGAATCCCCGCCCCGCCCACTCCGACCGCTTGGAGCCTGGTTGAGGATGGTAGCACTCCCGTGTGGGCGGCGGCCTGATGACGGGGATGTCGCTTTGGGGGGGAATGTGACGAGTCGGCTGCCTTCCCCTAATTATCAGCATCACCCCGTCCCTTAATCGCCACCCTTCGCCAGCTCCCGACATGAGTGGGTGTGTGAGGGAGGAGGGGCGTTGAAATAGCCAGGGCTGGTGGCGTGTGATGGGGCACACCTGAACCGAATGGAGCCTCATCACCACCGCTGTTTAAATGCCGAGCGCGCCTCTCCTCGGGAGACCGGTCTCTTCCCCGTGCATGCACGCTGGTGTCCTCGTGGGTCCAGGAAGGGTGCATAGAGGGACTCCTGTGCCGCCAGAGTCGTGAGCTACCGGACCCGCGGTCCGGACGAGAACCGCACCCGTTACACGGCCGTCGGGCTAGGATGCCGGGCCGTCTAGTCCCTTCAACTGCCAACATGGAATGATGGCATAGGGATGACTGGGCACGGGTGCTGGCTCCCATGCTGACGGGCGAAGCGCAGCGTGCATACTTTGCTCTTCCCGCCGATCAATATAAGGAGGTCAAGAAGGAAATCCTAGCCCGCCTGGGGTTATCCCCTATCTGTGCTATCTGTGAATAAATCCACCCTCCGGGGTATTGATTGAGATTACTTGTCGTGTGATTCTTCACCCCGTTACGATATGTTGCAACCATAGACTGTAAAAAAAGATGGACGATGCACCTTCACTCTCTTCCATTGAAGAAAAGTGAAGCCGCCAATGGCCCAATAGGGCGCGGCCATATTGCGCTGATTTAGTACTTAGTAAGTGAATTAGTCTGCGCAGTAGTGAACTCGGGACCCGAGTCTGCACAGTAGAGAGCGAAGTGGAGCCGCGTCCCGCCCACACTCCCGCAGAGTCGATTGCAAGCACACGCCCCTGACCCCGTTTTAATTAGCGTGACTGCTCCAGTTTTTGTCTGCTGAGAGGATTGTGTTAAAATAAGGTACATACAACCCTTTTTTAATTAGATTGACTGCTCCAATTTTTATCCGCTGATTGCCGTACAAGAGGCTTGTGTTGAAATAAGGTAAATACAACTCCAATCTCCTCCTGAAAATTCTGAAAAAGTCGGTTGGCACCTCAGTTTGTTTAGAGAAGCTGTCAATCACAGCTGTCAATCATGACTTCACACTCCCATTTTTCTAGCATCAAATAACTAAATAAAACAAAACGTATTTAAAAAACAAATACTTGAACTTACATCAGTGTGATAAAAACTACATAAAATTATGAAAACCATCTTTGGAAAAAAATTATTTGAATTAAAATGTAATTATTTAGTTTGTCTCACGTCCCATTAGATTACATGGAGAGGGAGGGGTTTATGACCTATACTGGGACCAGCCACCTGGGGGTGATCGAAACGCTCTGGCTTCACTTTTGAAGACTAGTGCGGCTCACTTGTTTGCAACACAGACATTGCAATCCGTGGATGCTCACCTTGCACCAGAAGGCGGGTGGTATATAGCGCCTCCCCCTGGTCACTGTGAGCATGGCAGCTGTAGGCCCCCCGGTCCTCCCGCGTGATGGCCTGCACCGTCAGACTACCGTCACTCACCTGTACAAACAGTATATGTATTAAACATGAGCTACACAAAATGGACAAAATGGTTAAAAATCAGTGTGGTAACTAGTTGGTTTAGCATGTAGCTAATATGCATTGAGTTCTTTATATCCAATTTTCATCCCATGAGGACATAAGGGGCCAGAAGTGCATCCATTTTTGGAGATATTTTTTTTAACAAAGTATATTTTATGGGACTGTCAATTATACGATTACGATATTAATTAATTGTTTAATGCATTTTTTCCCATTTTCTACTTTATCAATGCAGCATTTTATCAAGTGATTTACAGTAAAAACATTAAAACATCTTTAAAACAAGATGATCTTTATAATATAATATAATATAATATAATATAATATTAATTTTCAAACCATGCATACATTGAATTTAATTTTGTGCTTTCTAAAGACTGGTTGGAAATTGACAACACTATTTTTAGCATACTGTCTTAAAAAATTCTACGGTAATATTATTATACACAGCATAAATGGGTCTTTATATGTGAAATTAATTATTATAAGGTCCTTGTCATCAAAAACTTTGAAAACCCCTGCCTCAAAATAATAAACAAAAAAAAAATAATTTATTATGCATTTATTGCTGCATATATTTGTTTGCTTTCTACCATATTCAATCTTCATTCAATACAAAAAAGTATTGCTACAATTAAAAAAATGCATTTATAAAATAGATTAAAATGAAATATAATATGAATATTAGAGCCCGACCGATATGGTTTTTTGGGGGGGGCCGATGCCGATACTGATATTAGGGCGTAAAAAAGACAGATATCGATATATCGGACGATATTCTTTATGTGTAGGCTATATTATTCAACTGATCAACTTCACTTCACTTATTATAAATAACTTAACACGAATAGAACAAAATATATATAACTTGAATTAAGAAATTAAACTGTAACTGTAACTATTAAAAGGTAACTGTGTAGGGCAAGCAAGCTACTGTCAAACCAACAGGGGCAGGTTTATGCAGGAAGCACAGCTTTCCCAAATGTATACATCTAAAATGAATAAATAATAATAATGAATAAAAAAAAATTCACAAATTCTGTGTTGTGTATTTTCTGGTAATCAAATGAACATATATGATATGCTCATTGTGAGAGTAAAATTAGACATTGTTGTTTATTTACTTTAGCATTGAGTCTCTCCAGGTGACAACGTAGCGTTAAATCACCATTCAACAGATTCAAGCCACCACCGCACTGCCGTCTATTGGACTACAGAAAGATACTAACTTTTCAATCTGCTACGTTACTGACTGTACTGACAAACTGTGCTGACACCGTGTCTGCGCCGCAACAGGACGCGACAAAGCGACCATTGAAAATCATTTGAACTTTGTGTCAGCTCATCATAAATAGAACGAGGCATCAAATTACTGCATCCAGTGTAGACAACATTACTGATTATAATGGGTTCTATTCTACACCGGATGCTAGCGGCGCGACAAAATACAAGAAGTTCTATTGTATTCTGTAGCGCCGCGCGATGTGATGTGACCGATGTGATAAGCATGAGTTCTGGGCCGTGGCGCTGCCGGTATAAACACCAGCATTGACTGAGTGGCCGCGATCGGCTCCGGTGGCCGTAACACAGGCTTTAATGCGCCGCAGACGCATGCCATGATGCACAGATCAGCTGTAGTCTCTAACGTCACTGAATCTGCTGTTAAAAATGAACCGTCCATTCATCATATCATCATGCAAAACTAAGAATTAGAATCATTGTAATGTGATGATCAAATATAGGTGCAGGTGGGAGGCGGATGGATAATTTGAAGCAGCAGACTCGGGTGAAGTTTGAGCTCATCCGCGCATCTCAACACTACACTGACCTGGTCGCCAGTAGCAAACAATAGCGCGCGTTCTGCTGGACAAACTAAGTAATTCTAAGTGAACACCATTCAGAAGCATTTAATCTGCGTTATATGTTCTGTAAAAAAATTTTCATATCGGTGGCATATCAGCAGCATATTCGCCGAGACCGATATATCTGCGACAGGCTCATATCGGC